CCAAGGTACACCACTACCATAGCTTTTACAAAATTGCTACCATATATTTATAGGTTGGGAGTTAAGCAGTTTCAAACATGCATAAATGTAGCTGAAAACATGTTTTATAAATTTTGATAATCAGATTTAAATTAAAGTTTATATCTACAGACGTAGAAAAAAAAGAATTCACCCTAAAAAAGTTACTTTTTGGTACTGGAAACAAATCTTTAATTTTATTGCAACAACAAATGTGTTAAGCAGTGGTATAACAACTTATTATGAGCCTTTAATGGCCACTAAATGCAACTAAAATTTCAGTTTAAATTCATCATTCAAGATGGCAGCACAATTGACATGCCTCCAAGGTACACAAACCTCCAAGGTACACCACTCTCTGCTACATTCAGCTGTTTAATTAAAGCTTATGAACATCATCTTTTGAGAGATTTGGTTGATATAGTTTTATAAATTATTAAAATATCTTCTAGATTATTTTTTGACGTATCGACAATCAATGAAATAATTGAAACAAATTTTCTGATTGTGAATGGAGAGTGACAAACAACACAAGCTAACTTATTTTGAATACATTGGAATTTGTTGAAATTTTTTTGAGAAGTTCCAGATAAAAGACTGTTACAGTAATCAAGTCGAGAGTTTACAATTCCACAAGCAATTATTTTTGCAGCACTATTGGTAGGGACGAATATAATAAAGTGCGCAAATGGTAGTTGCAAGATTTTACTATATTCTTTATGTGCTGGTCCAAAGAGAGTGTTGAATCTTAGGTAATACCAAGAATTTTTACCAAATTTATAGAATACAGTTAAGTATCACCAGTATATTGGTATTAATTATATCCAAGTTTAGCTGTAATGCGATTTATGGGAGACACAAACATGGAAAATAGAATTGGGCCAATAACATTTTCAGATATTTTAACTCCTGTTAAAATATCTGAAATTGATGATTTGAAAATAATGTTATTCTAATAGAAATAAAAGTTTTTTTATTATATAGGTATGAAGACAGACTTTCAATTGCAGTTTTTTGATTATTTTAAAGACATCTTTAGGTGTAACTGTACTGAGTGTTGACATTTCAGAGTAACAGTGATAATGAAACAGTGAAATATTATATGATTATGGTAGGGCAGTCAGCCTTTGTCGGATTGTACAGGGGTGGGACCGCAAAATGTGAACGTTTTTGTTTTATTATAACTATTTTCTCGTTAGATGTAGTTGAGTTTATTTGATAAAAAACGAAAGACAAAGTACTAATGAATATGTAAACAAAGTAAAATATAATATGTAAAAAAACAAAAATTGAACATTTAAAATAGTTCATATTTAACAGAAAATTAATTATTACAATCAGAAAAGTGTTCACATTTTGCGGTCCCACCCCTGTATTCTTTAAACTTTTATTTTTTAATGAAATATTGACTTAATGTTTCACACTTTTCCTCTGGTTATCAGTTACATTTTTAGAGTTTGTATGCAGTAACTTTTTAACAAAACTCCATATTTCTATTTGATTAACCTGAGCTGAATTTAGTTTTTGTAAAAGATCAAGAACTTCTGCACTTGCGATGTAAGGTAAATCATATTCAAACTACTTGTAATCACCATGAAAAGGTCTACTTGCATAGATTTGAGATTTCATAAGATGGAAGCTTTTGTTGCAATCCATTTAACAAACACAAAGTTAAATTTAAAAATATAAAATAAATTGACTTAATTTTTTTAAAGATAATAGCTTATTTAATATTTTATCATTTTAACACTTTTTAGAATCTATCAGAGTAATCAGTATTGATTTGCCAAGGAATTTGATTTAATACCTAAACTTTAGGTATAAACTTTGTACAGTATGTCGAAAAATGTTGTATTTAAAAATAAGAGATTTTTAAGGTTTTGTAAGTAAAATTTTAGGTATCCATAATGGTAAAACTTTAGGTATCCATAATGGCTTATGGATAAAATGTGACATTTGAAGATTAAATGTCAAAGTTTTATTAAAGTCTAGAGTTGTATACAATAAAAAAAACTAGAAGGTTTTCTGAAAATTTTTTTTTAAAATACAGAGCTTCAAAGTTGAACAAAACATGTTTTTGCTACTAAAGTTTTTATTTTTGTAAAAATTAGAAATGACCATATTTTATGAACTGCAAAAGATTTTATGCTGATATTTTCAGGAATCACTGCTCTTGCTGATATTAACCAACCCACCATGTTTCATCAAAATCTGAGAAGGTCCATGTTGAAATCCTAATATTTTGGTCCAACTGGCATGATTCATATATACAAAGGGCACCCTAACCCAAAAAATAATATTGAAAAACTATTTAAAATGTCATAAAAAGCTATGTTTTTTATGGCCTAAATAAAAAAACCAATTCAAGCATACCTTAAATATAATTTCTTTGTTGTTTTTAATAGTACGAAGCAAAATACTTTCTTGAGGTATTTTTCTGTTAAAAAAAATGCATAAAACATAGTATTAATAAATGCTTATTGAAACACAAGTTAAAAGGTTTTACTACATACTATTGAGTTGGCTAAAAATTTAAGAGCAACTTTTCTAGAAAAATTCTGTAAAAACCTCAAAGATTTGTATTTGGATTCACATAATCTGAAGCTAGAGCTACAACAACAGCTTAAGCTGAAACAAAATGTAGATCTCAATAAAGTATTGAAAGCCTAAAAAGTTTGATGACAACAGCAATTATTCTTTTGCCTGAGCATTGGCAAGAGATGATTTGATTGTGCATTCATTTTTAAAGAATACACATTTATATATATTCATATAAGAAGCAAAGCAAATGGGCTGGTACAAGAAAATTTTTTATCTTATGGGATTTTAATAATTTATAACTTAAAATTTTTTAAGAGTTTATTTGGTTTTCATTTATTTATAATATAAATATTTCATTTGCAATTAAATAGAATTCCATTCTGTTGCAGATGCAAATTAAACACTCATTTAAACTGTTGTTCTCTATTGCAATTAATACTTTTTAAATGTGTATTGTTGATGTGATATGTAGATGAAAAATGAGGAATCATTTTAAATATTTTCTAAAAAAAAATGAGGAATCATTTTAAATATTTTCTAAAAAGCGTTTAATGGAATTAAAATTAAAATAGGATAAAACTTTAAATGTAGTTTGGAATTTAAAAAAAATAACAAATAAATTTTCAGCCAACTCAACAAGATAGACTTATTCTATTTGTAAAACCATAACATTAGATAACAACAATAATAACAATGATAATAAACAAAATAATAATGATAATAACAACAATACTAATAATAACAATAAAAACAAAATAATAATTTACTTGATTTTTTTTAAATCTAAAACATGATAAGCATTTGTTGAGTAAATTTCATAAGTCAAAAATTCTTCATGAATTCTATTCTAAAAAAACAATGCATTAAAAAAAGAAATAAGCATTTTATTTAACTACTTATTAACTTATTGTTGAAATTTTAGATAATTTGAAGTGTTGAAAAAATATTTATTTTTATCTAATGTTTTTATATGAAACTATAATAATAATAACTAATTTTAAATTTATAATAATGACAATATTTTAAATTTAAAACTTTCTCACTTGAGATGATGTTTTTAAATTATTTTTCAAGCGAGTTTTAATGTGACGTTTTGGAAATACAACTTCTGCATCATTTGTAAACACCCCTAATAAAAAATACATTTTATTTAACTTAAGTAAGTTAAATAAGTTCTTTTGAGTTTGCAATAAAATAAATTTTACAATAAATTGGTTTTCAATAAAATAAACTTTACCATAACAAATTGATAAAACTGCCATCAATAAACAAATTTGATTAAATATTTTTCCATGCATATTTTTAATTGAATCTTTGAAACTACAGAAACTTGTATTATAAGTTAACAATAAGACTTGGGAAACATCAACATGTCTTATATTGAATACTTTTACAAATTATACTAGAGATGATTATATAAAATGAATTTTACTTTTATATAATTTTTTCAAATCATAAAAATTGCTGGTAACAATAACATATGAATTATACCAACATAATTTATTTGAAACTAATTTATGATAAAATATTTGTTAGTAAGTGAAATTATCCAATAGTAATACTATTGGATAATTATGACATACTATTGGAATGACATACTGTATGTCATTCCAATAGTATGTCATTTTTCTGAGATTTTTCAAAGCTATATATTTTACATGTTTCTAGAAGTTGTTCAATGGTGTGCACATTTTGTTTAAAATGTAATGTTTAAAGAAACATCATTTGTTTTACAAAATTTTTGTTAGATCCGCAGATTTCAAGCACCATGTGTGTTTCAAGAAATGTAGTAAAAGAGAGCATCTTAACTAAATATGATTATTAACAAAGCCAAAGTCTAGAGATTACTTTTAAACAAAAACCACTAATTTTTTATTTTATATAAATGGAGTTTTTCAAAGTTTAAATGTTTTTTCTTTAGCCAAATGTTTTTTTAATACCACTGGTACGAAATTTTTTAACTTCACACACACACACACTCACACACACATACACACACACACACACACACACACACACACACACACACACACACACACACACACCTCTTCAAAAAGAAAAAAAAAAACTAATAACAAAAATATTTTGCAAAAAGATTCCACGCTATAGAAAAGACACTAAAAAGGTCTTTTGAATATGTTAAAGTAGTCATTACCAGAAATTTGATTTGATTTGAAATTTTTAGAATTAGTGCATAACTATTATAATAATTTAAATTTTAAATTATTATAATAGTATGCACTTAATTCTAAACCTAAAGTTATGCACTTAATTCAAAAAATAGTTATGCACTTAATTCAAAAACTAAAGTTTTTGACATTAATAATGCCATTATCATAATATTGATATTAATAAATTTTAATAATATCAATATTATGACAATGGCATTATTTAATAATTTCAGACATGGTGCCATTTAATTATTAAAAACAGTATCAAATGTTTAGGTGAAAATTTTTGTGTTATGGTTTATCTGTAATTCTTAAACTAAAGTTTTTGACATTAATAATGATTATTAATGTCAAAAACTTTAGTTTAAGAATTACAGATAAACCATAACACAAAAATTTTCACCTAAACATTTGATACTGTTTTTAATAATTAAATGGCACCATGTCTGAAAATCTAGACACGTACGTATTTTAATTAAAGAGTTTTTAACATTATGACATGTTAAAAAATTGGAATGAAACTCCCTTTGGTTAGTGCTATATCCTGTCGTTCTAAAGTTCAATTTCGATCGTACTAAAACCGCAGACCTGGAAAAATGTTTACGCATGCGTAATTTCCGTGTAATTAAAAACCATATTAAAACATAAAAATCGCCTCGTGCGCCAGCTTAAAGTTTAAGGTAATGTCTTTCAAAACATAGTCATAAGAAATATATAGTCTGGAAGCAAACAATAGCGCTTTGTTTATGTTTTTGTTCCAGAAATCACGCGTTCTCATTCTTCCGAAGGTGCACAGTAAACAAAAACATCTCATATATATGTAAACAAAAACATCTCATATATACCTTCAGGCCGTTTTCCACAAGACGAAAAATTCAAAAAATTACATGATTCCATAGCGTAAAGTTAGGTCCACTGATCTCTATAATAACTATTATAATAAATTATTATAGAAATCAGTGGTTAGGTCCCGTAAAAGGTTACGCAATTGTCTCGCTTCACGTCCAGGACAGAGTTAACATAATTAATTTTTGCATTTATAATTTAATTTATGAAATCTACAATATAATTGCTAGAAGTCAATGTTCAATGTTCAATGCCGTTAGTTACTATTGTTCGATATTAGTAACGGTTCTGTATTCTGTAAAATACTCTAATGCAAACAGTTTTGAAACTTTTGAAATTACACGAGGCAAGCTTTTATATTTAATAAGGAGATTAAGCTGTATTTATTTTTTAAACGTTTGTATCAGATTTGTTGTGTGTTGATGCCCTAACGATTTTTTATTTTTATTTACTATTTGTTTGTTACTATTGACTTTGTTTCACGCAAACTTTTATGGCTTTTCGATAAATAATTTATTTAATGTAACTTACAAGATATAAATGAAATTTGTTCATAAATATAAACTTGATATTATATTTTTGTTTATTTTATTTTATGATATTGTAGTTTGTTTATTTGCAGCAAACATTTGCTTACATTTTTATTTATGTTTATTTTGTTTAGTTATTAAGATGCTAAAAATACTAGCAGTAAGCATTTCCTACCATTTCTATTTATAATTTGTTTATTTATTTAGACTTAAATAAAAAGAAAATTTTCCAGAGTTGTGATAAATCATAATTCAGTTGTTAAACAGATGAAATTGTAGAGGTTTCTATCATATAAATATATATATATATATATATATATATAATATATATATATATATATATATATATATATATATATATATATATATATATATATATAAAATTTGAAACTGCGTTTGATTTTGTTTACTTAAAGAATCATATAAAGAAAAATAATCATCGTTAAGATCATATTATAATTGAAGTAAGTGTAGAAATTAGTTTAGCAATTTATATATAACATTTTTATTAGAAATTAAGTAGAAAGGATCACTCCTTTTATTTTTTGTAAATCATTTACATTTTGTTTGTTTTAGATTTTCTTTTGGCTTTATTTTTTTCTAGCAGTTTTGTTTTTATTGAGCATATCTTCTATTTTTTAGAAGGAAGATAGAGGTATGGATGAGGTCTATTTATTTTTTATGCAACAAAAAAGTTATACTAAATGTGTTTAAATATGTTTAAATATGTATGTAAATATATATATATATATATATATATATATATATATATATATATATATATATATATATATATATATATATATATATATATATTGTGCTTATAGTTGGTTTATATGTTTATATTATATTATTTCCATGTTTTCAAAGTGCTGTGAATTGGTAAACGTGTAAAGCAAGATTTGTCAACCTAGCCAGCCAAGTCACTTACTGCAAAGGGTTACAAAGCAGTGTTTCGTGTCAAACTGTTACTGCTTTAGGTATAGGTGTTTTCAAGCCTTTATTAATAATTACTCTGAAAATACATAATGTATTTTAATAACATTTTGCGTAATGTTGTTACTGATGTTCTGTTATATATGAATGTTATGTCTCTTAAGTTATGTTATATGCATATTATATGAACTTATGGTGAATGCTATTGTTGTTGTGATGTTGTTTTTTTGTAATCTTTTGAGTTGATATACATTTGGTTTACCTTCAAGTTGTTGTCTACTGTTAAAAATGATACATAGTTAATTTCATTATTAGACCTCACTGCATTTAATCATTCACTAAAATTAATATTTAGATTCACTAAAAGCCTACTACTACTACTCTGGTAAATCACATCAGCTTTATCAGGTACAATGATTTCTTTTTTTTGTATGTAATTTTTTTCTTATTTACTTATTTGTTACATTTTTTATTTACCAAATGATGTATTTATGTGTATAGAAGAACAAAATATTGTTAAGTTTTGTGAATTTTTAAAAAAATTTTACTAATATTTTTTCATTACCTATGTAATGTTTTAAAAATTATTCTTTGTGTGTGTGCAATTTAGAGAAGTAAAAAAAAAAATCACAAACTTCAAGATTCTTTCCAGCTTTTTTGTTACTACTATCAATTAAAAGTGAAGTTTAAATGAATGATATAAGGCTAGAAGTGGCTATTAGTTTAGAAAATGATGGAAATGTTAATAAGCAAGTTGAAAATAATCGTTGCAGAAATGCAAAATTGGCTGAGGCGAGATGAAATTAATAATCAACAAAATGCTAGATATGCTGCACGACAAGCTGCAAATAATTTGAATTAAAATGAGGACAGTGTGATTAGGCAAGTTGAAAATAGTCGTCACAGAAATGCAAGAAATAGGCTGAGGCAGGATGAAATTAATAATCAACCAAATGCTAGATATCCTGCTCGGCAAGCAGCAAATACTTTGAACTGAAATAGGGAGAAAAAAAGGGTACGATAGACGTCACTATAATCTCCCTTCACATAATGAAGTTGCAGTTGTATTTTTTGGTGAAGATGGTGCTCCACCTACTTCCAGTGAAGTTGTTATTTTCCCAAGAGGTCATCCTCTTAAAATATATCAAGTATGTCTGCCAAATTTTTGCCTATGGTTTGTTCTCTATTTTTTCTAAGGGTTGATGCTGGTTGGCATAATCAATTGGTTCACAACCCTGAACATTGATTAGAAATCATGTTACATTATCTCGGTATTATAGTTATAGACTTTTAGTTGGACAATTAACCTAAACAAAAAAAATAGGTGAAGTGATTTTTAGTAACTTTAGATCACTTTGTTGTTATTTTTTTATTACTATAAGAAGGGTTAATAATAAAAGTTTTTTTGGCAGTAGAACTGGTACTGATTTTAGTAAGTTTGCTATATTTTTTTATTTAACATTTTCATTAGATTTAATAGGTTTAATAGGTTTTTTTTAATTACTTTGGAGTAAAATATATTGAGTGATATTACTTCATTTTTTACACTTTTAGGTTATGTATTGTTGTCTAGATTCTTTGTGAAATTACAATTTATTGATGTAAATAAATTTTTATTTTTGATAGACAACTTTTATCGAAAAATAAAAATAAAAATTTATTTACTATTAAGTGCTTATCCACGGTGCTCTCTGATAAGACCTTGAGGACTTCTTGGAGCACCTAAAATAAAATTAAAAAAAAAGTTGTTGAAATATAAGAAATGCTGCTCGGCGAGCAGAAAACTTACTTGCCAGAATTCAGTGTCAAGCCGTGTTAATGTGTGTTTATTTGATTTTATTTTAAACACTTTAAAACAATTTAAATCAAATAGTTTTAAATTTAAATGATTTTAAATTTTTTTATAAATTCAAACGTAATTATGTTCTTTTTTTTTTAGTTGCCTTTGTTATCACTTGATTAGTTTGCTTGCTGTTGAAACATGGTTTTAATTTTGTAAATTTAATGATATGAAATTTACTCTATTAATCATTAGTTGACAGTTAAAGAGAAGCTGGAACTTTACATAATAAAGGTAAAAATAATTTTGTTTACTCTTAGATAAGAGTTAAAAGAGAATTAGTACATGAAGCATCAATAAAACTTATATAATTACTTTTTAGTTAAAATAAAAGTAACTATATAAGTTTTATTAATGCCACAATTGATAATGACCATGTATATAAAAAAATTTATGAGCTGCTTGGTATTTTATGATAAAATTGTTCAATATTGTAATCAATAAAATCTTTTTAGCTCAAGTATTTTAGTTGATAAAATATCTTAATTTATGGTGTTCTGCGTTATTACGTTATTTACTACGTTAAGTTGTCTAGCCTTTATATAATCTTTTCTTTTTTAATCATTTTGGAGAGACAGTAATGTGTGCTTACAAATATCTTATGCTATGCGCTATTGTTAATGTGTTTTGTGTTGATAGAACTGGGCTATTACAGCAATTTTTTTAAGTCTTTATATCTTCATTCTACCAACAATAAAATGCAAATAATACTTTGTAATTAAAAGTTGTAATTATTTTTCGTTCCTTTTTTTAGGCATTGGAGGCTTTACTTGACTTTCTTTTTATGGTACCTGCTGTGTTGTAACAGATTTTAAAAAGAACTTAACTTTTTTTTTTTTTTTTTATTTGCATTCACTTCCAACAAGGCTGCAAGCAAGCTTTATTAAGTTGGGAGTTACTAAGAAAAAAAGAACAGAGTTATTGAGCAAGGAAACGGTTGACAGAAGACTTGAAAAGTTGAAGGTTGTATGAGTCACGAAAACATGAAGATGGGAGAGAGTTCCAAAGGATTGAAGTGCGGGGAAAAAAACTAGATGAATAAAGTTTTTAGAGCATGCAGGGACAGATACAGTAAACGAATGCGACTTAGCTGAATGACGAGTAAAACGAGAATGAATTTTAGTTGATGGAACTAGAGATGATAACTCCTTTGAGCAGTGACCATGATAGTATTTGTAGAAAAGAGAAAGAGATGCAACTTTACGACGATGGGAAAGAGGTTCAAGCTTAGCAGATAGTCCAGGTCCAACAACATTTACAATGCGTTTTTGGACCTTGTCAAGAAGAGAAAGTGAATCGTTAAAAGAACCAGCCCAAATATGACAACAGTATTCCATACAGGGACGAATAAGAGAATTGTAGAGGTAGAGAATGGAATCAGAAGTAAGGAAATGGCGAGCACGATAAAGAGAAGCAATCTTAGCAGAAGCTAATTTAGCAATCGATTGTATATATGGTCTCCATGAAAGGTCAGTAGTAAGCGATAATCCAAGGAGACGTTAAGAGGACGACTCAGTAAGAGGATTGCCATTCATTAATATAGGAATGTTGACCATATTACGGTAGTTGTTTGCAGTAAGCAACTGGGTTTTTTTAGAGTTGAAATTCACAAGCCACTGTGAACCCCAATCTATTACTGAAGTGAGATCGGATTCAAGATCAGCTGCTTGTTCTAGGCGATCGAAAAGAAAAGACTTTTTGTCAAGACAGGAGTGTAAAGTTGAGTCATCAGCAAAAAGAGCTACTTTAGATGAAAGGTTGTCAGGAAGATCGTTTATGTAGATAAGAAACAAAACAGGGCCCAGGATGGAACCTTGGGGAACCCCAGAAGTTACTGGAAATAAAGAAGAGTGTTGGCCTTCAAGGATGACTTTAATAAACCGGTTAGAAAGAAATGATTTGATAATCTCAAAAACTTTCCCAGAAACACCATATGAAGCAAGCTTATGGAGAAGACCAGCATGCTAAACTTTGTCGAAAGCTTTAGATATGTCGAGAGCAATAGCCCTAGCCTCACCGCCTCCATCTAATGCACGATAAAATCTTTCAGTTACAGCAGTTATCAAGTCGGCCGTAAAGCGAGAGGATCGAAAACCGTATTGATTGTCTGACAGTAGTTTATTTGACTCAAGATGAGATGTGAGGAATTTGTTGATCAAAGACTCAAAGACCTTGCTAATAACAGAAAGAAGACTGAGTGGACAATAATTGGAGGGGTCAGAATTTTCTCCAGAGTTTTTTAATATTGGAACCACAGATGCCATTTTCCAACAAGCAGGAAAACAAAACTCAGTCAAACACTTGTTAAATAGTTTAGAGAGAATTGAAGAAAGTTCTGGAGAACAATTCTGCAAGACTGTGACAGGAATGTTGTCTGGACCACAAGCTGTAAACGAGTTTAATTGAGATATGACTTTAGCAACAGAAGCTGGAGTGATTTGAATGTCTAACAATGGGTCAACCTGTTTGACTGGAATGGAAGGAAGAGAATGTCCATAAGATTCAAGAGTGGAATTAGAAGAAAAGTTCTTTGCAAATAGTTCTGCCTTATCCTTGGGAGAGGTAATAAGATCAGTCCCATGAATGAGAGATGGAATGTTAGATCTACCCTTGTTAATAATGCTGTTGAAGATTTTCCAAAAGTCTTTAGAGCCTAACTTCTGTGATAAGATGCGAAATTTAGTGAACTGAGAATAATGGAGTTAAGCATCAGAATACACCTTTTTACATCAATTTCTTGCAATAATAAATAGCCGTTTGTTCTCAAGAGAGTTGTTCTTTTGAAAAAGATGAAAAAAATGATTACGATTGGATATAGCAGCCGCACAAGAAGGAGAAAACCATGAAGTAGAATGAAGCTTGACTTAAAACCGACGCGAAGGAATAAAAGCTTCCATTCCAGCCTGAATCCAGGAGGTTATGTAGGAGGCGCATTTGTCAGCTAAGAGAGAAAAAACATCAGCCCAAGGACCATCACGAAGAAAATCACGAAAGGAATCCCAGTCAGCTTTAGGGTAGTGGTAGGTGGTGCGATGATAAGGTGAGCCCAAAAAAGAAGTACGAGAAGAAAGATTTATAGAGATCATTGCATGGTCAGAACCACCTAAGGGAGAAAAGGGAGAAACTGAACATAAGCTAGGGTCAGAGACAAGACATAAATCAAGGAGTGAAGGTAAATGATTAGGGTTGTCAGGAAAACGAGTCACAAAGTTAACTATCTGAGTAAGAGATTGAGAAACGCAGAAGTTAAAGGCTTTAGTGCCAGCAGGATCAGTGGTGTTAGAGCCAAGCCACTCAGTGTGATGGGCATTAAAATCACCAACAACAACAATATTGGCAGAGGGGTAAAGAGAGAGGGCATGGTCAATTTGATCAGAGATAACATCTGAAAGAGTACAGTCATGGGAAGAAGAAGAACGATAAAGAACAAAGAGAAAGGTGATAGAGTGAAGAGGTGCTAGGCGAAAGCACATAAAAGAATGGTCAAAGGATTCGAACCTGATTTTACGACAAATAAGGGAATTAATGCGTATGTATACCCCTAAACCTTCAGGTGACTATTGGAGTCTTTACGAATCAAAGGATAGTACCCATCAACACTGACATCTGAAGAAGGAA